GATGAATTGTGCTACCCAAAACTTTTTGGCGGACAAAGATTCAACACAAACAATGTGACATATACGCAAAGAGTAAAATCTGAGCTCCGCAGAGCAGACCGCCGATCATGTAGCCCAACCCGAGTCCTCTTCATGGCCAAGCAAAAACAGGAGAGAGAATTATTTGCCAATATGAATGTGTGTTTGAGAAAAGTAAAAGGAAAATCAGTGACAGTTTCAAATGCTCTGAATAACGATTGCATCGATGAAATGATTAAACACGATGCTGGCTACAGAATGTTGGCAAATATTCCAACTTCTCCAGCATACTGGGAGAAAATAAAAAAGGACTCTTTTGCAGCGCTTCGTCAACTAGGCAAACCAACCATTTTCATGACACTTTCACCTGGTGAGAAACGTTGGCCTGAGCTCCTACAAGTCTTGTACAAATTTCATTACCATCAAGATATTACGGTTGAAGAAGCCATGCGTTTGAGTGACGAAATAAAAACAAAGCTCGTCCGAAATGACCCTGTTCTCTGTGCCCAATACTTCAAGTTCAAAAGTGACAAATTTATAAATTTATTGCAAAAGTTACATAGTATCTTCGATGAATTTGAACTCATTGACTACTACATTCGAGTGGAATTTCAAAAGCGAGGTGCACCTCATATACATGTAATGATATGGTTGAAAAATGCACCAACACTTGATCCAAACGACCTTATCGAATCGGAAAGACAAATTATCGCTTTCATTGATAGATTCATAACATGTATGAATGATAAATCTAATCCATACGTTAGCTATCAATGTCACATTCATACGCACACATGTCAAAAGAAGGTGCGAAAAGAAAAGAAGTGTCGATTCGGAATTCCGTTGCCAATGATGCCAGAAACCAAGATTTTCTATCCATTGGAACCACATGAAAGAGAAAAAATAAATCAACGATTCATCGAAGGAAAAGAATATTACAAAGCGATTCAAAAATTTATGGAAGATTTGTACAAGAACCCACGAGAAATATCATTTGTCGACGCTTTGAATGAACTCAACATGACTGAAGATTGTTATTATTACGCAATTCGAACAACATTGAAATCAGCAAGAATATTTCTTAAGCGAGGAAGTATGGATGTAGGTGTAAATGCATATAACCCCGACATTCTCAAACTTTGGGAAGCAAACATTGACGTTCAATTCATTCTCGATGAATTCGCTGTAGCGGCTTACATGCTCAATTATATCAACAAAATTGATGCAGGACTATCGAAACTTTTACGACAAGCAGTGTCCGATGCAGATGCTGGAAATCTCAGTTTACGTCAACGATTTCAAAAGATTTCGAATATATTCGTGAATGGAACAATTCTATCCGCCCAAGAAGCCGTCTATTTAAATTTATCAATGCCGTTGTCGAAGTTTAGTCGTGACGTAGTCTTCATCAATACAGGTCCGATTGATTCACGCGTCCATATGATGAAAAGTAAGAATGAATTGGAGAAATTGAAGGAAGCGAATCCAAATGACGAAAATGTCACCGTTCCTGACGTATTTGCCAAATATGCAGCGCGTGAAGGTATGGAAAATTGAACATTCTTTTTACAATCGATAATAATATCAATGACATTTTAAATGATTTTACAGATATGGAAAATGTTTGTTTGGCCGATTTTGTAGCAGAAAAGCGAGAACATAAAGAAAAAAATGGAAAAATCACGTATACTGATAGAGATACACCGAGAATCATTCGTTACGTGCGCTATTCAATAAATAAAGACAAAGCAAACTTCTTCCGTGAACAGTGCCTACTTTTTCTACCGTGGCGAAATGAAAAGAAAGACATTGAACTTCAGAATTGCGCCCAGCTGTACTATACAAACAAAATCATCATCGAACAAAATCGGCAAAAATATGTCACCATTTCTGATGAAAGAATCGACGAAGTTGTCAACGAAATGAAAATGAATGATGAATTGGATGCTGACAGCGATGAAGACGACGAAGAAACTAATGATTTGAGGGAATTCGTGCGTGAACTTGGAAATGAACTTGACGTTGATATTGCGGCTCAAGCGGGCGAAACAACAAAAAATGAAAAAGGAAAGCAAAACGAAACCAATCGCTATTTTAGTCCACAAAGAGTAACTGAAGTCGATTTAATTAACTTATTGTTGCCTCTCAATTCACAACAGCGAACGTTTGTAATGCATATCTTGAAACACATTCGAACCAAACCAAACGAGCCGTTTTATTATTTCTTGAGCGGTGCAGCTGGCGTAGGCAAAAGCACTGTGATTAATGCACTTTACCAACTCATAACTAAGCATTTTGATGATCTTCGTGCAGCCCAACCAGACAAACTTAAAGTCTTACTCACAGCACCTAGTGGCAAAGCCGCTCATTTGATTCATGGAACCACCTTGCATACAGCCTTTTCTCTACCCGTAAATCAATATGGTGGGCAACTTGCGCCACTTTCAAGTGATTTAGCAAATGCAGTTCGTGTTCAGCTTCGTGAAGTAAAACTTGTAATTATGGATGAATGTTCAATGATTGGCACAAAAATATTTCACCAATGCCATCACAGATTGGTTCAAATTTTCGGCAAAAATGAACCCTTTGGAGGTGCTTCGATTATTGTCGTGGGAGACATGAATCAATTGTCACCAGTCGGTGATCAAAAGATCTTCGTTCCAATGCGAAACATAAATAACACGGAAATTGGCGCACTCTTCGGTCCCATATCTCCATTGTGGGAACACTTTGAGTACTTTGAACTCACGCAAATCATGAGACAAAAAGACGAAGCTCAATTTATTGTTGCCTTGAATAATCTTGCTGCCGGAAAAATGACACCCGAAGATATTGCATTCATTAAATCGCGTCAAACTCAAGAAGATTTAGTACCATTGGAAGCGATTCGCCTGTTCCGATCAAATGCAGATGTCGACAATTTCAATGAAATGGCAATTCAAAAGGCCTGGGGTGAAACGATCAAATGTGAAGCAATCGATCGCATTGATGGCAAACCGAATATACATGTGAAACAAAGAACATTGCTTGCACTGAAAAACCGCAAAAGAAGTGAAACATTCGGTTTGGCTCACAACATCGATCTAAAAATTGGAATTCGATATATGATAACCACTAATATAGACATAGAAGATGGCATTGTAAACGGCGCTTGTGGTGTATTGAAATACATTCAGTTCGAAGAGAATCAGCCAAACAAACCAAAAACGCTATTTATGGACTTTTCATCAGATCGAGTCGGTTCCAAGGCACGAAGAGAATACAAACACAATCTTGGAGATATTGTTCACGAGTCTTGGGTACCAATACAAAGAACGGCTAGAGAGATTTCGATGTCAAAAGGTGCCAAATTCCAAGTATTTCGAATTCAATTTCCAATCATGGCAGCCGAAGCGTTAACAATTCACAAATCGCAAGGCTCAACGTGTAATTGTGTTTGTGTAAATGTAGAAAAAACTTTAAATCGAGAACTGCTCTATGTCGCGTTGAGTAGAGTTACAAAAATAAATGACATGTTCATCATTGGAACGTTCACAGCGCCACCAGCACCAAGAAAGAATGATCCAACGGTAGTGGAAATGAAACGCTTGAAATCCGAACGACCGCTCAGTTTGAACTTCAATACACTCGATGCAAAGACTGGACTTGTCGTTGCCTATCATAATGTGGTGTCGTTCCCAAAATACCATCAACACATTGCAAATGATCAATGGTACAGTAAATGCGATGTTTTGATTCTATCCGAAACGCATACAACCTCAAAATTTCAACCGCATTTGCCTAATTTCGAACTTAAATTTCGTTCAGATGATTTCGACACTCCACAAAAACGCGGCATTTTTGTTTTCGCCAAACCAGACATTAACATTCAAAATATTTTCCACAAAATCGAAGAATCTGATTCAAAAGCGAGTGCCAAATTCCATTCAGACATCATAGTATTGAAAATCAACGACATAGCTATAATAACCGGATACAAATCGCCGAGAACAAGCAACGCCATATTCGAAACACAGTTGAAAGATGCTTTTTCTTCGTTGGATTCATCATTAATTCAGCGAGTATTAATTGGTGACTTCAATTTCAACATGAATCAAACACCCAACTTTCTATCAAATGTGATGCCGCAATTCAACATGTCAAGTAAGCTTGCATCAACTGACGAAACAACAAAGTATAACACTCAAATCGATGTCGTTTTTGCAAACTTCGATCACATCATGGCTGGAACATACGAATCATATTTTTCCGATCATAAGCCAATTTATTTCATGCTCACAGATCCGCAAAAATCGAGACCTATGAAACCTGTTACACAACCTGTCAACAAGCCCATTAAATCCAACGAGCCGATCAAAATGAAGAATCTTGTAATAAAACTGGACAGAGTTAAACTGCCAAGTGTAACTACCGATCTTAGCGTACGGCAACCAGTTCGAAAAGTGCAAGAAGTACCAAATACATCTAAATCCAACGA